CAAGGAGGCTGCTGAAGGTTCACAGACATTGATTAAAGATGTACAAAGATTTAGACATGAAGATGTTTGCTCACACCATTACAACAGAAAATTAGAAATAGCTACCAACAATGATTATTTAAACACATTGTTGTACTCCCATCTAATGGATTACTTCATAGCTATTAAAAACTCATGTTGTCAAAGAGAAGAAAGACCTTCACAACATAATAAAAATAAAGCACAAAAGCAGAATGGTGTACAGACAAAAGTGAATAATTTTCAAAAGATGGATTAACAGTGACCACAACTAGCAGAATTATGAATGAATTTTTAATTCCACTTTTTTGCTTATTTGTGTTTTCCAATTTTTCTATAGTAACAGTGCACTGCTTTTGAAAGAGTGGAAATAATAAGAGATTATTTTTGCTAGCAAGAAATAAATATGAAAAGCCCCTTTCTTCAAGACTGGGTGACATGAAATAAGCTTGAAGTAGCTTTCCAGCTTGCCTGTCATCCTCAGAAACCACATTAGCTCCAGGCAGATGCTTCCTTGGGTCTACCTTGAGATAAGTTATTAGAAATGGGGCTGTCTGGCCAACACCTCATCCTCTGGGCCAAAGCCACTTCAGCCCAGAGAAAAAGCACACTTGCAAAGCTGGTGGGTTTTCAAAAACCTAGCCTGTGGAGGAATCTGCCTCCTCCTGCTGTCAAGAGGTTTGCAGGCACTCCCTTTCCATCCCACAAGAGGAGACAGGCAGATGACTCATAGCCTTGGCTCAGATTAAAGGAGCATTATTGTGTTAACAGGAATGGATCTATTTTATTATCTGTTTCTTGACACCTTACAAATAGTTATGCTTTTCCCAGAAGACAGGCAATTTCCATAAAAAGTCAACAATTTTATTTGCTGAAGTTAAGAAATGACCAATGAGAGTTAGAAGTTCTTGTTTCTGAAGAGCTGCCAGGCTTAAAAGATGTAGTGGAAACAGTGAGGAAGGTGGTTTGTAATGCTCAAACTCTAGATTCAAGTCTGTAAGTGATGCCATTCTTCTAAAAATACACAGAGGAACTACTGAAATCTATTTCCCTTTTCAGTTTCCAAGGAATTATTTTTTAAAGAAAAATACCAAGATGGATTTGTAAAGAGAGAATCACCCCCTTGGATTTCATTGTCTTCATGGGGTTGATGGTCATGAAATATTATTTTAAGGGCTTCCTTTTATAATGTGGATTTTTTTCTGTCCTAGGAGCACAGATAAGGCACATTTATTCATGCTTCTCATTAAACTCACATTCCAGCAATCATCTCCCTTTCTCTTGTTGTCCCACGACAACAGATTGCATATCACAGGAAACCGGAATGGTAGCATTATTTAGTTTGGCTCTCTCTCTTCTATTGTTAATTGTATATACAATGTTTCATTCTACATGTGTCTCATTCCACAGAAATATATTAGGACAAAAGCAGCTAATTGAATAGGAATTAGTCTCTGAAGACTTGTCTCATGGACTTTGCAAGGCACTCTGACCAGTTCTTCCTCCTCTGCGCCCCACAAACATCTCTCCCAAATGAGCTGGCATTCAGAAGAGCCCTGATGACTGATATGCATAGATGTGTTGTGAATATGCATTCCCAGAAGTTTTCTATTGATCCCTGTCAGCATATGAATGTCCTTGTTCAATTTTTTTGCTGTTAGATATAGAGGTATCCATACAACTCTCACAAACTACTTGCCCACTAAAGCATATACAAACAAATAAATAAAACAGAAGCCATCATGCCTAGAAAAGCGAACTTTTTAAGTGACCCAGGTATTTATTTTCTGAGCACTAACTTGTACCCAAATTCTGTGTTCTTTTTTTTTTCCCTCTTTCATTTCTTTCATTTCATTTTTTTCTCAATGTTACAATAGAATATCTGGTCTGGGTAGAGAGCTAACATTCCAGTTGGGCTCCGTCAGTCACCTGCCCACAGGACCACCACTAGGAAGGCAGGTTCACCTTAAGCCATGCTAAAGAAATAGACTGAATAATTAATGCTTTCATGAGATAATGCACTTTTTCCTGACAATAATTTCTACCCCCGATGTAGCAGCTTATTGGACCACAGACATGTAGCTCACTTTTCTGAAGAATTCAAAAAAGTCGAACCCCTCCTTCTTTCTCTTTTCAAAGGATGCTTTTTCTGATGTTCTGGACTTCCCAACATTTTGGATTTTTCACTCTTTCTTTAGCGTTCCCCTTCCTGCCTGCCATGTGGTTGCCAGTTCCCGGAGTCTGACCTCCACGTTGGCTTAAAAGGCATGACTTTTTTCCTTCTCCATTCTCCTCCTCCAGACAACTGCTAAGATTTACACCTCGCCTGCCTCGAGTTCTTCTTTTTAAACTCTACTAAAATTGTTCTGAAGTTTCCATTTGAGTTCATTCTTAAATTTTCTTATTGATGAGACTAAGAACCTAAGAGGGGACTCCAGTTCCCCCTGTGCCATAAATGAGACTCATTGGATCAAAGAAGCCATGTTCTCTCCACTTACTAAACATTAACTGTGTGCCAGCACTGGGTAGCTTCCGTGGGCACTGCACTACTTTTACTCCTTCACGTTCACCTTGTGAAGGAGATGCTAACACAAGAGGACACTGGGAAAGGTTAGGCCATTTGCCCAAGAGCACACATCTATCATGGAGCCTCTTTTTGGAGAACTTCATCAAATCTATCAACTTTTATCACTGAGGTCAATGAGTTTGGTCTAGAACACAAAGTAGGACTTCCTTAATATTCTGTGAAACCCACTCTCTCAGGAAAAGAGGCAACTTTCAGCTAGATGGGAAGTCAAAACTTGCTCGTAAGCAGTAACTGTCCACATCACACAGCCTTGATTTCAAGTTCTCACTCATCCACCTATTGGACCTGAGTTGTATTTTCTTTCTGAAAGTCAGTTTCCAGTTCTGCAAAATAGAGATAACAGTAAGTTGAATGCTACAAAATCACCAGTTTTTAACTACGTTTCTGACCTGAAAATTGTGTTTTCAAATGATTTGACCTAAATTCATTCCTGGGTCTTTGTACAGATTGAGTGCTCCAGAAAACACTGGATACATGGTAGGTTTTTGTACTTATGATGACTGATCTTGGTCGTCAACTTAACACACACTGGGAAGAGGGAATCTCGGCTGAGGAATTTCACTTGGACATTACACAGGCAAGAAGCAGAGACTATTCCGGAAAAAGTTCTCTGCTAACCACTGCCCAGCCCTTAGGTGGGAACTCACAAAGAGCAGCCCTTCTCAATAATGTTGGGGATAAGGTGCCAAGACCTCAGCTATAGCTGTGCCTGAATGAACTAGGTACTGCCAGGCACCTCTCCTGTAATAAGACCCGAGGATATCAGATCATAATCTCTGGAGTCTGTCAGTGGTGCCCATGCTGGTTAGGTTTTGTCAACTTAACACAAAATAGGAATACCTGGGAAGAAGGAACCCCAGTTGAGGAATTTCCTCCATCAGATTGGCCTGTGGGCATGTTTGTAGGGCATTTTCTTGATTACTAACAGATCTAGGAGGGCCCAGCTCCCTGTGGGTAGTGCCATCCCTGGGCAAGTGGGCCTGGGCTGTATAAGAAAGGTAGTTGAACAAGCCAGGGAAAGCAAGCCAGTAAGCAGCATTCTACCAAGGCCTCTGCTTCAGTTCCTGCCTCCAGGTTCCTGCCTTGAGTTCCTGCTGTGACTCCCTTTAGTGATGGATAGTGACCTGGGGATTATAAAGTGAAATAAACCCTTTCCTCCTCAAAGGAGCTAGTGGTGTTTATCACACAGGAACAGAAAGCAAACTAGAACAGTAAGAATTCTCTTCCTCATTTATTTTTGCTAAGGTCAGTAGTTTGCCATCTCTGTGAACAGTTTATACTGAGATTCCAGCTTGTGGTTATGTGAGTGTTGAAGCCTATAATTCAGGGAGACAATGAAAGTGCATGTATAATCAGGAATTAACAACAAAAACCTTACTGCTCAATGCATTCCCTACCTGGTTTGATTTCTTGATTAGTAAATAAATTTACAAAGGATTTTTAAAAAGGGGAGGGGTGCTGTTGAGGAGTTTTAGTATTTTGCCATTTAATCCCATCAAGAAGAAAAGGTGTCCACCACTCTCCGCCTTATTCCCTCCTACTGAACCTGGAGTTAGGCTGATAGCCACCATGCCCCAGAGAGCCAGTCTTCCTACTGCGGCCCCCAACGGCTCTGGGGTTACAGGCACCAGGGGGACCACTCCTAGAGCTGGGGATTTGAACTTTGGCCCTTGGGATCGAGCATCAAGCGCTGTTACCCACTGAGCCATCACCCGAGCAAAGAAAATGTTTTGAAATCAATTTTTGCCTCTTGAGTTGGAGGCAGAAATTGGCACTGCAACTTGATTGGCAGGGCGGGTCCAGCCTTCAAGGCCAGCGCGGGCTGGGCCCAGAACCAGCTCTCAGAACCAGCTCCGCTTGCCACGCCCACGCCTGCAAGAGTGTGAACTGCCTGAGTTATCTCTACCTGCCGCTGTTAACGTCCTCACTAGGCCGGCCGCAGGCCCTGTGATGGTTCCCTCACGTGCATTATCATACTCCCCCCAATATTACTGTAAGAAAGAAGCAATCATCACATCGCTCCTTTTCCACGTGAGGAAACACACAGACGTCTCACCCGAGGGGTCTGAGCGGCGAAGTGGAACTCAAACCTGTGCATGCTCACGTGAAACTCTAAATGCAGCAACAACTCCTCTCGGTACCGGAGCAGAGGCGCTTTTCCACTGAAGACGCCTGCAAACTTGGCCACACCCAGAGAAGGGGACTTGGCCTCCCAGACCCGCACCACTTCGCCCGGCTAGGGGTGGGGGAGGGACGGCGCCACCCCCGGGCTACTTAATTGCAGCCCCGAGACGCGGGGCACCGGCCGCTCCAGCTCCTCCCCTCCCTCCTCCCCGCTCCCTCGACCCTCCGCCTCCGCGCTCGCCTGGCGCGCCTGCCTGCACCCGCGGGCGGGCGGGCGGGCGCCGGGAGTCCGGCGCGGGCGGCGTTGCCTCAGCGAAGCCGCCTCCGGCCGCACTTTGCCTGGCCAGCGCCGGCCGGCTGCAGCCTCCGCGCCGACCGTCGGCGGGACGCCGGCCCCACGGCCCGCAGGGTAGCCGCGCGGCCCGGAGCCCTCGGCATGGATTCGGACTCGGGAGAGCAGAGCGAGGGCGAGCCCGTGACCGCCGCAGGTACCGAGGGGCCGTGTCCGCCGGCTGGGCTAGGGAGGAGGGGAAGCCGACGCCGGGACCCAGAGCGCTTCCCGGAGCTGCGGGGCAGGAGGCCGGCCCCCAGCAGCCCGGGCCCTTTCGGAGCGACACCGACAATTGCTCTGCTCTTTAAGTTGGCTTTGGGGCGTCCTCTTCACTTCAGTGCGCGGGAGGCAGGGGAGCTGCATTGGCCGCGGGCTGGAAACTGCGGGTCTCCTGCGGGCTCCCGGCGCCCTACTGGGTGGGGGCGGGGAAGGGTTCCAGAAAGGCACGTCCTGTAGTTCCCTGCGAAGGACGCAACCCTTTGGAAGTAACTTTCCGTGTGTCCGCTGGGTCCTGCATCCTGGGGTGCTGAGGCCACGCTGCAGATGGAGATGACCCGGTCCGGCCCGAGTGCGTGACCTGGGACTCCAGGAATAGAGTAGGGCTCGTGCCTCCGCTCGGCTTGTGGCTGCGGTTCCCCAGGCTGTTGGACCAGCTGGCGCAGAAGTGCTTGCCCATCCCTCCGGCGCGGCTAGCGGAGGGGATCCCCGAGGAGGGGTCCACCTCAACACAGACGCCGAGACACGCGGGAGCTGGGCTTCGCCCTGAACAGGCGCCACCAGCTTTTCACAGTCGATAATGTTATGGGAGCGATTAGGTGGATGCTTACTTAAGAGAGAAATGAATGTCCTCCTCCGCCTCTCCCAGATACTGAGCAACAGGAGGAAGCCACCCACAGCCGTGGGCTGATTTAAGGCCAGGCTCTGCCAACCTCTGCCAGGAGGTCCCCACCCTCCCCTTCAGCCGACCCCCCGCCCCCCGTGTCCAAGCACCTGGGACCACCGGCCTTCCTCCCACCATCAAGGCTCTGTGCACCCAGCACAGCCCTAAAGGTTCACCCACAGACTGTGACTGCCAGCTGGGAGGCTCCTGGTTTAGACCTAGACTCAGTCTGGTCCCTATACTTTCCAAGGGCAGACCCGAGTGGCAAGAATGGGTACCAAGTGGCAGAAGGCCCATCAGTCCAGGTGTGTGTTAGGGAAAGGTCGGTTAGGGAATCAGGGTTGGACAGCACCTAGCTAGATGGGGTTTTTTGTTTGTTTTTAATCTCCATTTTTCCATTTTGCAGAGATTTGCCTTGCCTTGCCCAGGCTCCCAAGCCATGGGCCCCTGTGACGCCTCAAGCTGCACTTTACCCCACAGAGGGTGGCTGTGGTTATCACCTTAGGGTGGGTGGGTTTCAAAGGGCAAGGCTAGCCGAAAGGAAGATTCCCACAGGCTTGCAGGGGACTCCTGCTTGATGTAGTATGTGTGGATAGTGTAGTTCATAAGCACTGTCCGTTTGCATGTCTCTGTGTTTCTGTGACTACAAGGCACTGAGATTTTGTTTCACGGGTGTCTTGAGGACCTTTTCCCATCACTTAAAATCTCCATTAGGTGTCTGTGTGTACCCAAAGTATGTTTCCTGAGCTCAGACGGGAGGGGGACATTAACACTGGCATTTTACTCCCTCTAAATCTCAGTAACTTTGCCCCAACCCACAAATTTATCCCATGGGTGGAGGCTAAGGGATTTAGGGAGAGGGGGAGGAGGGTAAGGAGATTTGGGGAGGGACGACGATGACCCCCAGGGTCCTTACTATTTGGAGGAAGGGGGAGGGAAAGAATAGATCCTTGTACTTTCTCCCCCAGCCTGCCTCAGTTCTCAATATCTCTGCCTATCCAAGCAGCTGTCAGTTTACGTGTGAAGGCCTCTGTGCAGAGACAGCTCACATTATCACTAAGGTCAGATATGCCATGAAGAGCATGGCAGCAAGCTCCCACAAGCTGTCACCATTTGTTTGCACCTGTTTTCTGCAGTCATTTCTTTCCTTGTGTGCTTGAATCTCACAACTTGAACATTTATTTTAATGTCATGAGCCATTATGCTAAATGGCATTTAGTCTCACTCATTATTTTCAGTCTGAAAGTATTCCCTCTTGTGACAAAGCTTCAAAATTAGATGCCGTTTCTCCATCTTGCTTTGGGTGCATCCTGTCAACGAGAAACTCTTGTTATGGATTCAGATACAATTTAAATGACAGGCATGGTATACATAGAGTCTGACCTTTGTCTAAAAGAAGGTGGTGTTCTCTGTGGACCCATACCTCTTCCAGGTGAATGTGTCTGTAACAGAGAAAGCTAACAGTGAGTATGGGTTTGTGCACATACTTGTAGTGCCTACCTTGTAGGGACTTGGTTTGTAACCACCTTCTCCATACCCTTCACTTTTTTTAACTTGTGAAAAGGCCATAAGATGTATTCTATGAGGTTAAGAAAATAAATGCTAGAATCAGAAAACTTTAGTGTCTCATTCAGGGGCAAAGACTTAGCCTCTCTAACCTTAAGTAAAATAACGCCTGCAACATGTTCCTGGTACTCATTCAATAAATTGAAGCTGTTAATTCATCACCAGGTTGGATTACCTGTAAGAACTCTGCCAAATAATGGATCCCAGTGGAAAATAAAAATTACTAAGCATGTACAAAAGCCAGTATAATTGTCAATATCACACTAATTAGCTGGTGGGGTCTGTTTTGCCTTTTCTCCTTTTCAGCTTACATGAGTGCTGGGAGTGGTTTTTCATTTACATCTCATCTTCCTTCATCCTCTAGCTCACAAAGATGGGGACATGGCAACCTCCTGTTTTCACCACCCTCTTCCCGGCTCCAGGGAAAGTTGTAGAAAGCAGAGAACTCCTCAGCCAGAGAGATGGTAGAAGAGGGTTTCTTACCCTTTGCTGTTGCTTCCCAAGCTTCCCTCACTCCATAAACCTACTTCCAGATGGCAGGAAGCCTGGAGGCTTCTCATGTTCTTCTTGCACTTTTGTTCATGATAGTCACCTCCCTAGACACCTGTTGGCAAGAAGTGAGGCGGTTTCTGTGGCCTACTCACCCTTTACCCCTTTAAGAGTCTCTTCTAAAGGTCTTCCTGTTTCATGTGGTGCAGATCTCTCATTGAGTAACGAACACTGTGACTGGGGAGGGTCTGGAAGTGGTACTTGTATCAGTCTGAATTTTTTTTCAGGAAATACAGGATGTTTTGTGTCGTGATGAAGCCTGCCTCTCTCCTCTGCCTGTCATTTTATGGTTCTTTTTGTGATTAGGAAAGAAGCAGAGTGTATGGAACACTGGATTCACTCCAGAGACCCAACTTGGCAGTCTGCCCTTTGGCAAACCCACCATCTATCTCTCAGAAATCCTAGAGCTTGATGTATTAATTCAAGAGTGAACGAGAGCCATTGCTAAGAAGCAGTAGGGGAGTGGCATTAGCATTATCAGCTTTTCCCTTTCTGGCTTGGAAGGCCAAGACAGTCTACCAGCTGAAGGCAGAAGACCTTACTGTCCCTACAACTACCTGGTCCAGAACAGTCAGGCTGATTGTGTCTGAGAGGTGCTGCAGAAAAGCATTTCCACATAATGGAATCTGTGTGTGGTAGGGGAGCCTACAGAGAAGAAAATACGTGGGAAAACGACAGCCCCTAACTTCCTGTCTCCTTGGGTCCTTGGCTTGGCTCATTTAATAAAGAACAGGTAGAAGCAGTAAATTGCCAAGAGGAGAAAGCACTCTAGGAGCTAGGCATGACTTGAGCTGAGGGACAGATAAACAGGGAGGCAACTGGAATAGAAGGTGCAGACTTTGGGGATCCTGGGAATAAAGTAAAGTCATTGTAGAGAAGGCCAACTATAGAAAGGTCTTAAAGACATGGAAACCAGGACTAGAGATGGCTCAGCGTAAGAGCACTGGCTGCTCTTGCAGAGGACCTAGGTTTGGTTCCCAGCACCCAAATGGCAGCTAACAACCATCCTTAACTCTAGTTCCAGAAGATCCAACACCCTCTTCTGGCTTCCACAGGCGTTGCGCAACACAGGTGAGTTTACATGCAGGCAAAACACTCTTAAGCATAAAATAAAATATAATAATAATAATAATAAAAACTTGGTAGCCCTCATGATTGTTGAACAGAGACATGACTAACCAGAAATCTGGATTTTCAAGTCATGTCTGGCAGATATGGAGAAATGCAAGGATTGCCTAGACTTGGGACCTCTGCTTCCAGGGTGTGACCATAATATTGGAGAGAATGGTAGCATGGAGGCAAGACAGAAGAGGAAGGATGCAAATGGCATTTCAGAGAAATCAGCAGCAGAAGTTGATGGCAGATTGCACAAAAGCAGTGAGAGGAGGAGAGGGAAAGGAGACAGTGGCATGTTGAGTTGGAGGGGGGGGCAGAACAGCCCACTGTCCTGAAGGCTGAGAAATGTTGGAGACTGACTTCCCTACCCCAGCAATGTCCTCTAGGTTCATGTTCCTCTTTGGGCACTTGGCAGAGATATTTGGATTAAAGGGTCTCTTCCTCTTTGGACTGCAAACTCTGCAGGTGCATTAGTTTTGAGGGGTTGTGAGGTTTAGGGGTCTGCTGGTTCCCATTGTTAGGTTATCGTGGAGTAATCTTTGTTGACAGATTGATGATGATGAGCTGACAGACTGAAGGCAGGGATGGCCTGGGGAGGATGCACCATTTGGCTGTTAGTCAAATTCCTTTTCTTGTTCCTGTTTTTGAATTTTGTTCTGGTTTCTGCCCTGATCACGCAGTGAGCTGTAGCAGCTTTCCTGGTCAGGAGCTTATCTTGTGCTTCTTCATGTTCCTTGGAGTTTTATGGACACTGTAAATTAATAAGCATCTTGAGCTTCCTGAAACCTAGCCTATAAAGCAGAATTGCCAGTTGTGTTATATTTTCTTTAGAGTGTTTAGAGATTTCTTGCACTGTCTTTGATTCTGCTAGAAATTATGAGGAATGTGAAGACAGATAACAACACAGCCTGTTCTGTCCTCTGGGGCTTGAAATTGGATTGGGGAAGCAGGTTAGAGATACTGATGGCTACAAATCATGAAGACTCTTAGTTCTCCCCCCATCCCCAATGCCTATGTGATTATATCCTTGGCTGTGTCTCTGTTTA